CCCCCCCCCCCCAAAAAAAAAAGCGGAGGGCAGGCGGGAGCGCGGGGCGCCCATCGGGGCTGCGGGGAGAGGCGCGGGGAGCCGCATTCCTATAGTAACCGGGATGGCGCGGCGCGGCCCCAGCTGGTTGCTAAGAGGGTTAAACTGTATCCAAACAGCTTTGGGGAAATCCAGCCCCTTCTCCCGCCGCATGGATCGACTCATTGGGTGGGAGCGGCGGAGAGACAAGGGTCTCCAGCAAATCAGCGCTTAATTGATTAAGGCGAGCTGGTTTGAATAGAGCTGGCCATGTGCCAATCGCCTTTCAAAGAGCCCCTCTATGATTAATCGCAATGCATTATTGATAATCATAATTATAGCAGGACACATGCGCGGTGCGCGGAGGACCGGGGAGGCTGGGGGGGGGGAGGCTCGATTTCCGTAATTTTGAGAAGATTTTTTTTTAGTAATTTTTTATTCTGCCCCAGCTGATGTTTGAGCCAGCATGTCGCGGAGGAAGCAGGCGAAGCCTCAGCATTTCCAATCCGACCCCGATCTGGCCTCGTTATCCCAGCGAAATGGTGAGTGCCTCTGCTCTCCCTCGCACGCATTTTCACACAAACGCACAAAACGGAGCTGCTTACCTTGCGGAGCGGGACTGCCGCTCTCCGGGAGTTACGGCCGGGGGGGTTCTTTTCCCTTTTTGCTCCCGAGTAGTCGGCTTTGATTTTATTCTTTTTTTTTCTCTTTTTTCTTTTTTTTCCAACTCGGCATTCTCTTTCGCGTGGTTCTTAACGAACCCCCGAACTCTTTCCGTTCCCCGCCGCTTTCCCTCCGCCCTCCTCCCGCGGGGCGGGCTGCCCTCCCGAACCCGCAGGGGACGGACCCGCGCCCCGCGGAGCGGCGGCACAAAGCGGGGCTGTGGCGGGGCCCCCGAGCCCGCACCCGCGCCGCGGATGCCCCGGCCCGGCCACCCACACCGCCCCGCCGGCGGAAAGCTCCCCCCGGGCACCCGCTTCGCTCCCCCCCCGTTCCGACCCCCGCGCTCCGGCTCCGAGCGCTTCCCGCAGGCGGAAAAGTTGTCGCCGGGCCGGGCTGGGGAGATCGCCCCGCGCCGGGAGCTGCCCCGGGCCGCCAGCTTGAAGCTCCGGGAGCGTGGGGATCCGCTCGCTCACCCTCGGGGTGCTGTTGTTTTTGTTTTTTTAATTTCTCTTCTCTGCTTTCCCTCTCCGAGTCAGTGAGCGAGGAATAAACAGCGGCTTTGTGTCCGCCAGGATTTGGAGAGGCAGCGTGTGAAATCTCCCTTTTTTTTTTTTTTTTTTTTGTTTGTTTTTTTTTTTTTTTTTTTGCCCCCCCCCCCCCGTCCCTCCCCCTCCCGGTGAGGGGCTTTCGGAGGAGTTTCGCCGCGGGGCCGTGCCCTGTCCGTACCTGCGCCGAGTCGCGGGGCGACAAGTGGCCGCCGGGCGCGGGGCCGGGGCAGGTACCCAGCGGCCATGCGGCGGGAGAGCGCCGGGGCGGAGGGAGCCGGTGGCCAGAAGCGCTCCGGGCGGGCAGGTAAGGGGAGGAACGGGGTGCGGCGGTGCCGCTTCCCCGCCCGGCCCCGTCGGGAGGAAACACCTCGGGCTCCCCCGGCAACTTCCCCAGGAAGCGGCGGCCCGGGCCCTCCGCTCTCCCGGGGCCGGCTGTGGGCTCCCGGCGCTGCTGCCGCCGCCCGGAGCTGCCCGGCCCGGCCCCCCCCGCACCCCGGGAGTGGGAACAGAGCGCTGCCCGCGGCTGCTACCCGCGGAGTTCGGGGAGGGTCCCACCGCCGCGCGGGGAATCGGGGCGGAAAGTTTGCGGGACTCCGTCCCGCCCGTGTGAGCGCTCCCCGAAGCCCGGGCCCGACGCGTCAGAAAGCAGAGAACGAGCGGACGTTCGCTTCGTCCGGCTCTGCCGAAACGTTTCTTAAAAGTCACTCGGTTCCTGGGAGGCTGCTTCTGGGTTTTGGCCGAGTTCTGCGCGCGCTGAGTGCGTTCGGGTTTTGCCATTCGCTGAGCTTCGTCCCCTTTCTCATCTCGGCAAACGTATTTATTTTTCTTCCCGTGTTATTCCCACTTCCTCTTGAAGTTTCGAGCAGGAGTTGGGGAAGCGTCGAGTTTTTGTTTGTCTTCCCTCGGCCTCCCGGGAAAGAGTTTAAAACTTTTTAAAGTGAGCGGGGAAGGGGAAAGCTGAAATGGAAATTACCTTCCTGGGAAAGCAGGGAGGGATTTTTCCCAATCTTCACTTTGTTTAATTGCCTCTCCTGACGCTCGCTCTCCGTTTTGTTGCTGCAAGACGGAGCGGAGCCAATCGTTCCCACCCATCGTCTTAAAAAGTAGCCATTTTCCCCTGGTTTTAGCCTTCCGATCTGATTCTGTGCACCGTTTTCAAAAGCGAGACCCCGCGGGCGTGAGACGGGCATGGCAGCCGAGCGGCCCTCCGCCTGTTGCTGAGCGCTGTACGTGCGCTAAGTTGGGCTTTGCCCGAAGCGGTGGCGCGGAAGCGGAGCTGCGTGCGGTGCGCGTGGCTATCGGAAGTTCAATAAGTAAACGACAAAGCTCCCGTTTAAGGACTGCGGCCGATAGCCCGGGAAGAAGCGTGCTTTACTCTCGCATCTCTCGGAGCTTTTCCCCCCTTCCCGGTTCGGAGCGGCGGGCTCGCCTTACGGCTGTCGGCGTGTCCGGGCGCTGCGCTCCCAGCGGGCTGCCCGCGGGCCGCTGCCCCCGGAGCGGGATTTGCGGTAATCCCGGCACGGCACGGCGCGGCCCCGCGGCAGCCGCCCCCGAGCAGGGCAAGGCAGGGCGCGCTGCGGAGGGGCGGCTGTGAGTTGTGTGCCTCGCAATCGCGGAGCGAAAACTCGGGATTCCGAGCGCTCTTTTCCTTTCGTACCGCGACTTCAGATTGGTGTTCTTCTACATCTTGCGCGGGGCTCGGGCAAACGTAGCGGCGCGCGTCCTTGAGGCGCTCGCAGTGAGCACAGCTGGGAACGGGCAGGGTGGC